CCCCAAAACCCCAAAACCCCAAAACCCCAAAACCCCAAAACCCCTTTTGATTAATGCAATTTGAATAAAATTAATATGGAGAAGATATTCGAGCACAGCATCAGCAGTTTATTCCTTGAAGACTTTTTCGTCATTCAACTCATCGAGTTCTCAGACATCACAGACGTCGTCAGGTACCGCCAGCTTAGCAGTTCGATCAAAGACGCCATCGAGCAAGAAAATTATGCTTTGTTCTTGAAATTAAAGAACTACTTGCACATTCCTTACACATACGACAGCAGCGAGCTGGCGGCTCAGGAAAACATGATTTCTTGAATCAGAGGTGTCGTCGAAGCGCTGAGCGAAGAGCCCCAGAGCATCTCGCCCTTCGCATTCTACACAGACGGAGGAGTCGACACAAACGGGAGTTACTACTTCTTGCAAAATGTGTGGAAGAAAACAGGAATTTGATACTGAACAATCGCCAACAGCAATGTGCATGTGCAGTCCGTGCTCTCCAAATCTATTGATATGCCTTCTGCAGATAATAACCCAATGAATTTCTTAGAAGATAAGAAAAACAAGAACAAAATACGAATTCCATATGAAAATTACATTGTTGATCCTAAAGCAGACCCTTTTCATATCCTGACGGATTTCCAGATTCATCTCAGAAGTGGGGGCTATAACGCTTATGTTCAAACTTTTGCCGTATTTTATTCAGAAAGGGAAGTAGATAATAAAAAGTTTCAAAGTCTTACAAAGAGGTTCACTAAGGCAATAAAGCCAACAGATATTCCTCTCCTTCGGTTAGGGGTGTTCCATAAAGAGGACGAAAAGGATTCTGGAATTCAGATTTATGAATTTGATATTTCTAATGAAAGTTCTATTGAAAGATGATTTAAAACGAGGAGTTATGATGTTTATCCTCTTTTATGGATAACTATCAAGCCGAAATATGTGAATAAAACTATCAATTATAGGATAAAACAGAGAGTAGCAGCTAAATATGTTAGCTTTAAGCTTATCAAAAGTTCAAATGCTAATTCAAATTCGAATATTGATTTATATAATTTAGGTCTGAAGACCATTCCTCTAAGGCTAGGCTCTTGAGAAGCAGAGTAATAACAAAGCAAGGCTGATTGGGTAACTATCAATATGCTAAGAGTATTTGTATTCTTGAGTTTCCACAATTCATATAAAAATCAATAAATTATTGATTTATTGGGGTTTTGGGGTTTTGGGGTTTTGGGGTTTTGGGGTTTTGGGGTTTTGGGG